GTGTACGGTAGCAAACTGCACCGGGCGATGCTCTCCGAACATCAGAGACATTGCGTGGTACTCATGCTCTACGCCAATCGAAAAGTGAGCTTATAACCCGTTACCTGCGAGCTTACACTTCAGATGGATGGCTGGATTAGTCATTAAAACAGGGATCAAAATCCACGCAGGTATTCCTACGTTCACATTCTGTAGTAGCAGCATTAACAAGCAGCACTGACCCTCGTTCCGTTACTCTCTTGGAACCGGTGCCCGGATGTTTCCGAAACGCGCATACTGGACAGTATCGCTGCAGTCGCGTCTGACTGAATGAATGGGGTCTCAAGGAGGATAACCAGGTGCCTCGTGGCTTTATTGGTTCCGAAGTAGCGTCCAGTGCTGTTTTCGACATCAGTAACCCACTCTACCAGAAAACTAGAGGTATGCAATAAGGAGAAATACCGGTTGCCCAAAATGTCTGTCGAGATATGAGTTCAGCAGCCGACCGGGTCAACTGCACTGTGCAATACTGTTGTCTAACTAAGCGGGCAAATCAATACCTCACGCTGGATCTTAATGAACAGCCGCGAAGAAATGCACAGAATGGTGTTTCAAGTGTTTGGCCAGCGGCCGCTATGCCTCGGGCTCGTACCTACTCCTGTAGGGGGTTTGTGGCCCCAATAGTATCCGTTCCTATACAGCCACTTGTCGTTATATGGCGACAGGGCGCCAGTATGAAGTGCTAGTATAGTACAAACATTTTCAATAAACAGTCGCACGTACGAGGCTCGATTCTGCAGCTTCATACGAGGTAACAGACACCGTTTGGAGACAAAACGGCATTCCTAATTGTTCTGAGTATACTGTTTCAGAATGCACTTCGGAAACCATCCACCGGCAGTGGTGGTTTCTCATCCACGCGACTAAGTACACGATTATGTTGTTCACTGCTGCTGCAATGAATGTTCAGATGTATCGAAAATCGAGCATCAAACAACGACCTGAGGGCAGTTCTAAGATTGACAAGTATCGAATATGGGATGTGATGATGGATGTCCACAGCGGTGTGTTGCCCGCAACCATTATATTAGTACAGTCGTACGCATTGTGTTGTGTTACCCACTGTGAAAAACGATCCTTTAGATCCAAAGCAACGGCGTTGATAAGTGGAGCGTATATCCGTGCTGTTGTTGATCGATCCAGAGTAGCAACCTGCACTCTGATTGTGTCTCGGCGTGTGTATACACAAGACATAGTTTTTCCAGCTTGAGCGAGCTACACAACATGGAGACATTTTAACTCATGAAACAGCATAAAGAGTTAGAGGTGGAAAAGTCAGCTATTGTGTTAATGAATGGACCGAGTGACCGCTGTAACACTAATTCGCGCAAAAAATACAAGGCGAAGCAAATTATCATGAGTTAGTTCATCTAAATGGTAAACGGACTCCTCAAGTGTCAAATGAATCGCTTGGTGCAGGAAGATGATTCCTGATTTCAGGGTGTCCGTAACGTTCTGAAACAACCTTTGGTCAGAAGTCCCAGAATGAACAGTGAACGTTGCTGGACAGAATCACAACTGTCATAGACGAGAGGTTGAGTAGAGCAATTCAAGGACTAACTGAGCCAAGCAGCTGTGTCATCATTCCTCCCTGAATCACCGGGGACCCCCTAGGGTGCTGAAGTCACGGTTACAACAAGTGAAGAAATCCGACGTGTACATACGCTAGTAAAAAAAACAAGATTGATATATCCTTCCACCACCGTTGTTGAAAGATGGCGATGACTCGAGTGTGGTTGATATGGTCGCACTAGCCGACTTTATTGGTAACACCGAATAAGTGCTTCCGGAATAGCGACCGTTCAACATCTTGTGAAAAAGTGCCGCAGAATGTCGTGAAAAAGCATTGAGACGGCATCAAAGCATTCTCAAACATCAAATATCCCGGTGACCTCATGCTCTTTGAGAAAGCAGGTTATGAATCCAGGATAAAATGTACTCGATAAGCTGCAATCGTGTGTATTCCTACAGGTGGCAACTTCAACTGGGTTGATGACGTTAGTGTCTGGCGCTACCCAGACCCGAAGGTCGGCTGTGGAGCCACAGAAAGATATCTCGGTTGCCTAGGATACGTAAAATGCACCATGAAAGCCACTCCCCACACGCACTCGTCAATACTTTGACCAAGCAGTGCATCAACAGCTCATTTCTTGCTGTTCCTATTGGAGCAAAGGCAGTTGTACATCGGTAGTATGAACTGTTAAACAAGCATAATTGACATACAACTGAGGAAAACAGCATGGACCCAAGCCAACAAAACTTGCTGTCACACTTTTTGGTCCAGTGTGAACTGACGTGACCGCCGTCGTCTAGAAGTTGTCCGCGTGCATTATCGCTACGGATACTTTTGATGCCATCGGAAACTAACAATGTTCTATAAAAAACGGCGACCAAGGAATTTTAGGTGCTCATGAGTAGTGATTTGGTGGGATTTACTTAGCTCATCGCAATTACATTACAAGTCAGATAGAACAATAACCAATCCGGAAAAGCACCAGAGGGCCATTACATCTTCTTGGGACTCGCCAGTAGTGTACATCCCCTCAATCCTGTTCAGGGAACGGAAATCATGACGAGCTGCAGAATGGACGAAACGGCCGTCTCCTGCTTTGCCAAATGGCTACTTGGTCTATGTGGATGGTAATTTAACTGCAATAAACCAAGTAAATTGAAGGTGTCTCAGACTCTCAGACAGAAGGGGCCAAATCTCGCTCCCCCAATGTGACTTTTGCTACGAGGTCTTTTTGGACCAAAGGAATCACCTTCTAACGCCAAAGATATCGTAGATTTAGGAATGTGTTTATAGGTTTGACAATAAGTGAACTAATCTCCATAACCACAAGCTAATTGATGTCAAGACAGTTGTCGAGATATGTGAGTCGGTCAATTACCTCCAGTTTCTCGTCGTAAAGAGAATAAAGCTCATCAAGCTGTTGTTGGTCCCCTGTATCAGAGGTTAACACATTGGAGATGCGGGGCGTGTGCCGAATGATGGGAACACCTAAAAGTTTGTATAGGACCGGCTGTTCCAAGTCCCGATCGTCGAACATCAAGAAAATATCGTTTGCATAGCCAACATAAACCAGTATTCCACCAGGCAGCAGTTCAGTAACAATATTGTGCGACGCTTCCAGCGAACACTGCATTAGTGGGTTGTCGAGAAAGTTAAAAATAAATGGAGAAATCAGATGAACCTAGTGAACACCACTTATTGTCAGAAAAGCGTGTGCAAAATTACCGAAGATTCTGTCATGAACGGCGGTGTTTGATTACAAGGCATGAAGAATGTTCACATACTTGATGGGAACACCCGAACAAGTATGTCAAAGAGGGTGGTAGCGATCGACTGAGGCGTACACACTCTTAAAGTTGATTAACACAGCTATTGTCGGCCTAAGGTGCACGCGTTGCAGAGTGAGTGACCAATATAGCCACGCCTTAGGTAAAGAACTGGCTGCTCTTCCACAGCCAGGCGATGGACAAGAACTGAAGCCAGTAATTTTGTCATTATCAGCGTTAGGCTAAGACTCCATGTTTACTACAAACGGTGCAACTTCTCATATACGACCACATTGATCGGTTCGCTACAGTTGGCTGGGATGGCCTATCTCTTCTACATGTATCAGAATAGGTGCGTTACTGTTGGACAGGTGGACCTCACCATCATAGCACGGATGTAAAACATTCCACTTCAAAGTATACTATGCAGGTGGAAATTGCCTTTGCGCAAGAATCGGACTCCGCTAAGAAAATACGATAAAATGTATGCCATGAGAATAACAGAAAGCTTTCTTCATGTAAGCATGGAGAGGGTTTCGCAAAACAACAAGTCACGTTAGTGCCCATTGTCATCGTTATGTTGAGTTGGTGATTTTGGTAGATCATCAACTCAAGACGATAACGGCTATTCTGGTCTAATGTCTTAGTATGGAAAAATGGGTTGAGATTGAAGAAGACCTTATGTTATGGCTAAATGAAAGTGCAGATTTATGTAGACCAAAACCCATCCTAAGGATTCGTAGTAAGGATTTTGAAGCAGAGAGGAGCATCGCTGATACCACCTCCAAAAATGTATATTGTTATATCCTTGTGCGATTGACTGACCCAAGCGTTGCCTTCAAGAGAGATCACCGGAAAAGAATGTTAGCAGGTGACACATAATCCAGTCAATCGATCGAAGACTTGATGCTCGTGTGCGCAGGCTGTGGGAATCGCCCTATTAGAAAACAATCTAATGCGCTAATATGGCACTGAGAAGAGCGACTCTGCCAACGATGCAAAATCGCATCCTCTTGTTTGCTAGTTAATCACGGTTAAAATGCAGTAGACATCAATTAGCCACGTTAGTTATGAGTAGACCACAAGCGATTTGCTTGCCGGGAAGGCTAATCTTAGTTCATAGGCCAGGGAGCGATGATCGCACGTAGAAGTTTGGGACTAGTCGTTTTGAAGATGGTAGCAGAGACAAACAAAATGTCGATGGCGAGCTGACAGTCTTGTCGAAGCTCACACGAGCAAACCGAGTAACCGATCAGATCAAGGCAAGTGACTATGAGAGTGAGTGACACTAACTACAGTCTCGGTGGTTACTCCCTCTACAACGTCCCAAGTACAAAACTCAATGAGAATAATTGACATGCTCCTTTTATTCGCAGTTCTGCTATTCGTTTACATTGAGTTACGATGGCGTCATGTGGAACCAATGCGTTGAAAGAACAAATCGCAGATAGGAAGAGAAAGCATCCATCGACGTGTGAAGCGTTGATAACAATTTCGCGACGCAAGAAACAGTGTAACTCAGGCAGTGGACAAAAGCAAAAACGAGTTAATTATGCCAAATGGGAAGCAACAAGTTACAGTGGATGGTGGAACACTGCTAGACCGCTCAGACAAGGGTAGGTGCGCCGACGTGAAAACAACGGGAAGTGTCAGAGTAGAATGCAAAAGTGATATGCACTTACTAAGCGGACAGTTCCAAACGGATGGTTTCGGATGCTCAAATTCAGTAAGGAGTTCGTCACTGGAGTATGCCTGATCGATATCCACTTCGTCAGCCTCATTGTCGGAGGTCTATTATCAACGAAGTCACAGGGAAGAATGGGGACAAAATGAGAGTGAACTCCGAAAATTGGGTTCATAGTGCACAGAGGTTTGAAGAAATACATGTACACAATCCCACAACTATGAACAGAGCACAGCGACGAGATACCGGCGATGTGGACAAAACTGCGTCTTCGCAGTACGAGACCGAAATGCTGTATTGAGGACCCCCGACGGTCATTGGTTGTGAGAATGGAATATGGCAGCCAGGTAGAAAGTATTAGGTCGGGCGACACAAAGAAAGTAGTGGTTACTGCAAGTAGAATCCGTTTAAGGAGCATGGCCCGCATACGAAGGCAAAGGTGGTGGGGTAGGCAAGAGGAGTAAAACACAAAAAAAGAGCAAAAAGATTCCAGAATAATCCGAGGAGCGCAGAGAAGTTTTAAGAAACCGGTAGGAGAGCAGACTACTAAGTGACTGGTGCAAACGTCTGCGACGTGGTTAGACTGTAGATACACGTGATGAATAAGACGTTAGAAAGGAAACGCTGACATCGATATCATTATGATGGTGAACCAGCGGGGTTGTAACCGAAAGTTAGGGAATAGGTCCAGTACGACGCCCCAATCGGGTCAACGGTGAAAAAGTGAGGTGCAAAGTTAATCGAAGAGTTATATCACAAACATGTACCGTCCTCACAGACAATGTGGTGCAGTCCAGTACAGCTTAGTTCGTCAACCACGGTCCGCAGCAGTAATAACAATAAGGGGTGGGAAAATGAGAGAAACAATAACAAAACGTTCATCGCCAAGAATTGGAAAAACGTGCGAACCCGCCGGATGGGACAGCTTGCGACCCAGAGCAAGGAGCCGATTACAACGGCAACACCCACCGCATCAGTATCACCAAGGTGAAAAAATAACGTATTCCGTGATCAGCTGCGAGAGGAGATATAGTCACCTAGATAAGTGAGGCAATTGTTCGCTTCTAGCGGATATTCAGTGACTGTGACAACAGGTAGCTTTCCAGCCAAGCCTTGCAACAGTGTCTTGCACGTTGGAAGACGAAGTGCATGTCGAAGAGGGCGGCAGAATGAACTGGATGTTTAACAAAGTTTGTATAGATAAGGGGTTAGAGCCTTGTCACAGTGTTACTCTGCCGTGCGGACGGACCAATTCAGAGCTCGGGACGTTTTTGTACTGGCTTGCCGAACTACCTCCTCGTGGTGCCAGCTGGGTGGTTCGGGTGTACCCCGTTCCAGCAAAGTGTTCGGCGACGATGTTCCACTTCGGTGGGACATTGTATTCCAGCAATTGTGCTGACTTCATGGGGAGTATCGGGCCCCTGTTTGGTAATCTACCAAACAAAGACGCATGAACTGAACATTCAGTCAACACCTCCGAACGGGCGCGATTTCCTAAATTCGCCCCGCTGCCTTGCGGGTAGGTTATTTAACCAAAGGCTCGGGGTGGAGTCCCCTAAGTCAACTCCCTACTTCGGCTTGGGCAACCGGGTAGTATCACGCCCTCACAAAACCATGGACTGTATTACAACTTGCTCATTAGCTGCTGTTTCTGCTAGTCACTTTCACGCTACTTAATCACATGCCAATTGATTGGTTGTTAACACTCCTCACTTTCAGTTACCCGAATCATGTGTCCAAGAATCTGGCTGCGATTCCGGTTGCGTCGCAGATCAAGGAGTTCAACCTATGGCTCTCCTTCGTCCCCGATCCTCGTTCCGTCTGGCGTGCTTCAACGTTCGGACACTCATGCAGATTGGACAGCAAGCCGGTCTAGCGCGCATCCTAGATTCCCTAGACATTGATGTTTCCTGCCTTTCAGAAACCCGATTGCAAGATCCCAGCACTGTGCTTACATTGACATCGCCCACTGACCACGAAGCCAGATATCACCTGCGTCTGTCTGGAGATCCAGAAGCAGCCTCAGCGGGACTGGCTGGTGTAGGTATAGCACTAAGTGGCAAGGCCGAGGCGACACTACTGAACTGGTTCCCTATTAACAGCCGACTATGTGCAGTTCGGCTCCGGGGTTCACATAGAAGCAACAGGCACCGCGAAGAGAGACACAACTTGTTTGTGATCTCCGTGTACGCTCAAAATGATTGCGATGTCGACTCGGCCAAGGACGAATTCTACCGGGATCTACAACAGCTCATGACTAATGCTAAAATGTCGGATGTCGTTATACTTGCTGGGGATTTTACTGCACGGGTTGACCGCCTGTTACCATACGAACGTCACCTTGGTGGTCATCACGCGCTCGATGAGAACCGCTCTGGTAACGGAGAGAGACTTCGCACATTGTGCGAAGACAACCGTCTGTTTCTTTCGAGCACTAACTTCAGGCGTACGAAAAAGCGTTCCGCAACGTGGTGTCCCACTGCTTCAACACAACCGTGGTCTCAAATTGATCACATTGCAATTAGCTTCAGATGTCGCGGCAGCGTACTGGACTGCAGGTCCTTTTGGTCCACCTTCGTTGACTCAGACCATGCTCTGGTCTGAGCGAAAATCTGTATGTGTTTTGGGGGGTCCCGAAACACGAAGCACCGCAAGATTAATGTAAACAGATTAACTGATTCCTCTGTCCAAGAAAGCAAACAATCTTCACTGGCATATGCACTCAGTTGCAATCCACCGCAAGAAGTGGAACAACACTGGACTTGTATACGGAAGGCAATGACCATTTCCGGACAGTCATGCTGCGGTCTAACTCGACGCCCCTTGAAGGCTTGGATCTCTGCTCGTTCTCTGGAGCTGTTCGAACGCCGCAAAGATATCCCCGCGAAATCAGACTGCAACGAGCGGCGCCGTTCTGCCAAACGGCTCCTAAAGCAAAACCTACGCAAGGATCGCGAGACATGGTGGTCTGAGCGTGTTTAGAGATGGAGACCATTGCCCTCTCTGGAAACACTCGCAGGCTTTTCCAAGTCATTCGGTCCACTAGCCTCAGGAAGCCTGGTGTTAGTAAGGTCATTTGTGAGGTGGATGAGTCTCTGATCACCAACCAACAGAGGCCTATGGACCGCTGGGCCGAGCAATTTCACTCGCAGTTCAACTGGCCTCCATCAACCATCAGTACATGCAGTACACCTTGTTGTCCACACTGGCTCGTCCCATTGAATCTACCCAGCGAAGCAGAAGTCCGCCTCGAGATTCGACGCTTGAAGCGCTTCAAGGCTGCCGGCTTAGACGGACTTCCTCCGGAGCTATTCAAGTACGGTGGTGTGGCGATCATTAACCAGCTAACCGCGCCGTTCGGAAAAATTTGGCATGAAGAGAAAGTGCCTTCCTCTTGGGGCGAATCAGTTATTGTCCCGATTTTCAAGAAAGGCGCTCGTACTTCATGTGCAAATCATTGTGGGATTAGTCTTATTTCGGTTGCCTCTAAGCTATTGGCATCCATTCTGCCACGTAGATTATCACCAGTACGTGAATCATACTACCGTGAAGAACAAGCTGGTTTCCGTCCTGGCCGCGGATGCGTGGATCAAATCTTCACCCTCCGCCAACTCCTTGAACATCGCCACATTTATCACAAGCCCACTATCATTGCAATCCTAGACATACGTGCCGCTTTTGACTTCGTTGATCGACCTGCTTTATGGCGCTGCACACTAATGAACGGGGTGACAGAGAAATATACCGTCATCATACGAGCACTTTACCTTCAGACATCCGGCAGAGTGAGGGTCTATGGCAAGCTTTCCTCGCAATTCACTGTCAATAGCGGCGTGCGACAGGGCTGCCCTATGTCCCCATTCCTCTTCAACTTCGCAATCGAAAACGTTGTGTCAAATGCTCTAAAAGGTTTCCAACATTTTGGCCTAGAGCTTCTACCGGGTGAGCGCGCGACCGAATTAGATTACGCTGATGATATCGCCTTACTTGGTGACGATCCTCAGAGTATGCAACTCATTCTGCATCATTTGGCGGTTGAAGCATATAATTATAACATGAGCTTCGCCACATCGAAGTGTAAAGTACTGCTCAAGGATTGGCTTTCACCTGCTCCCGTACTCACTCTCGAAGGTGTACAACTTGAACAGGTAGATAGTTTCGTCTACCTTGGGAGCTGTGTTTCTGCTGACGGTACTATCAACAAAGAAGTTTCTCTTCGTATCGCTAAAGCTCGATCAGCATTTGTCAATCTGACGCACTTGTGGCGTCGTCGCGACGTCTCATCCACGCTAAAGGGCCGAGTTTACAGCGCATCAGTTCGCTCTGTATTGTTGTATGGGTGCGAGTCCTGGCCGATTCGCGTGGAAGACATGCGTCAGCTTTCTGCCTTCGATAACGGTTGCTTAAGGAGGATCGCTCGTGTTTGGTGGCAACATCGAGTAAATAGTAATGACGTTCGATGTCGCATCTTGGGGAATGCGAGTATTCCCTTCAACAAACTGGTTTTGTTGCGCCAGTTGAGATGGCTCGGTCACGTCCTTCGCATGGCACCTGAGCGTCTACCACGTCGAGCACTATTCGCTCGTCAATCACCTGGCTGGAGGCGACCGCGTGGTGGTCAGCCTTCCACTTGGCGGCAGCACATGAAATCGCTGACGTCGTGTCTAGCCGCTGTTGGATCCGTACGTCTTCCAGGATGGTGACCCAAAGATGAGGAGTGCCAGTGGCTTAGCACTCTTGAAGATATGGCCCGCAACCGGAATCAATGGAAGACTTGTGTACGGTATTGTGTTGATTCACATGATTAATACTACAAACATTAAAACGACAAAAAAAGAACAAAAGCGGCGTGTGAAAAACCAACTAAAAATGTTTTGTTCTACTTTTTATCGAAATGTTCCATTCTTCCTGCGGCATATTAGTTGAAGTGTGTTGCTCACCTTCAACTAGCATGCCACCATGATTATGACGCGATGAATCTTGCTTATCTGATCTCCATGGTTTTATGTTGGCTCTGTGTCTAGTTGATGGACTGTTGAGATTACATACATACATACATACATACGTTTTTGTGGATTATCCCTCACCATCTTATTGATCACCATCGAGCTTACAAACATCTCACTAGAATTGTCCCAGGATTGACCCCAGTGAATTTTTTCCCATTTCGTGTATCCCAACTGTGGAACTTGCTTCCACATTTTCTTCACATCTGCTCCATTGTTATTCGAATTCAAAACTCGAGGATGCATTACACTATCTGTATTACATGATTCAATCAAGGTTAATAAGGACACGCGACAACATAACCAAACAATGTGTATACTTGAAAATTTGCGGTACGTTTACTGCTACGCGTCCTTGTTTTAATACATCCACTTTTGATCACCCTCGTAATCTACGGAAAAGTGTTAAGCGTTTGCTTCTATTAATTGAGGTTATTCACAGCTTTTATATCCGTGATAAATTCATTGTTCCATCATCCAAGCATGCTAATTTACCGACTGATTTGCCACTGACCATTCCACATAAATTAGTCATAACAACTCCGCACACACACACACACACACACAGGGTCATTCCGATCAGTTAGGGGGTAATAGAACAAAACAATCATGTCGAATCCCACTGGGTGTAGCAAAGGAAAGGTGACCCAAAAACATCCCCGATCATCATCCGGTGGAGGAATGCTATTACATGTCTGTCTCAATAGATCTTGCACGAGCGCTCTCGTTCAGAGAATTCGTTGGTCGTTCAACAACGCCTTTGATGATTCTGTCCCCCCGTAGGTGACGGGAATTAGTCGAAGGAGAGTAGATGGAAAGACCGGCAGAGTCAACCATTCGGCAATCCGATGGGCGGTAACGAATATCATCAGGTCAAGGTGTGATAGATAGGGATGTATAACCAATTGGAGGAAAAGAAGTTGGCGCATATTTAGTATTCACATTTCGATCGAGCCAACGGGTATAGTGGTGGTGGGTCCAGTACGAACACCTATAGTTGCAGTTCCACTGTAACGCCCCCTCTATCATTGAGTCACAGTGAACGAGTTGGTAGTAAAACGCGATTCGGATGAAAAGTAACTTTATGCATTGAGGTAATGTTGGGAGTATGAGAAGCCGGTAACAACTGCTCCACTTCGTACGTGCTAGTAAGGTGAATTGAAGGACGTTCAGTATACAAGTTGTTCAGTTGTTGAGAGAGGAACAAGGCGGTATGAATCATATAGGAAATATGTCATTCTGGAATGGCAAACAGTGCAAGTGTCGCTTCCAGATGCTACTCGCGATAGTTTCCCCATAGCTCTAAAACAAAAGCAGTTCGGTTTGGATGAAGTGCACCGGGCGCTGTTCGGCAGTACGCATTACTCGATAAACACATTTTAACGACCAATAAGTATCACCCGACAGAGTTGATGGAATACGGATCAAATCGAGTCTTCCACATGAGTACCGTTAGTGCGAGTGCCTCTGAGCCGGTTCCAGAAAAGCAATTATTGACGAATAGCCTAATCCGTGACATTTAGTGAAATAATGTAAACATAGGTAAACCACTCAAGTGATCAAGTTACCTTCGGAGTTAATACATCATTTTAAGTTGTGGCCAGTTGGATGACGAGGAAAGAATAAGAAGGCCCATTTAACTATCCAGTTTGCAACGATGAAAACATGTCCAAAGTTAGTAATGCCGGTTCTCTGGGTTCAACAGCTACTATATTTAGAGGGGCAAGTGAACAGGGAGACAAATGCTTTAATATTGGAGTGTGAGATGGATAGGTACTTCCTTCAACGAAAATGTAATTTTCTGGCGCTTGAAAGGGGAGTTTAGTACAAGGAGTTTAGGTGATCCGTCAGCACGGCAATAATTGTGAAAACTCACGGGGTCATCTGGACGGGCAGCTTCGTCATATTTTGAGTGCGGAAACATAGGATCTGATGGTCGTTTAGAGCATGCAGGATGGGGACCATCATCAGGTTCTACATGGTCACAAGCACGCAAGGCTTGTCGAGAGACTGGCTTTTTGATGTCTTTTGGAACAGGGTGATCAGGGTAAGCGGATGATTCGGACAACTGAAGATCAAAAAAAAAGGATAGAGGAAGTGATGTTTTCAGCAAACAAAAATTGGTGCAAATGCATTTCACAAATGCAAATAAGGAGCGGCCGAAAAAACATAAAAAATGAAGGTTTGTATGCACCTGCAACAGTTGCCTTTATATATATATATATATATATATATATATATATATATATATATATATATAGCGTGCTCAATCACTAAACGTTTAAAGACTACTTCCGTTTGTAGAGAGGGGGTGGCAATTGCTGACAAGTGATTGCATGACCGATGATGTGTATAAAACGACGACAACAACAAATAATAATAAGGAAAATAATAATAATAATAACGTGTCAGCTGTACGCCGTAACGGCGCTTCGCTGCCGTGCGACCATCACCAGTCGCACGCGGGCTGAATATACCGCGAGGACGCCCACCCCTAAGCGGATTCGAACCCGCGCCGCAAGATTACGAGACAAGCTCGTTACCACTAGGGTACGGGCCGACAACGGCCAAGCTCGACTGTGAGGAGCTTTTCTCTACAGCGAACGGTATAGACTACCCGTATTTTGTGTTGAGGATTTGGAGAGTAGTCGATGATCCTGATGACTTTGACATCGACCTGAAGTAATCCTTACGGGTTTCGTGATAAGATTGTGCACACAATGCCATCTTCGTTTCAGACATATCGGCCGCATGGAACCCAGAGGACAGGAATTTACTTAAGGCGGAGGCAAGTGCAAGATGCTGAGTGCAGGTGCAGTCTAGGAGGCTAAACAGCTAGTGAAATGCTCCAATTATTTTGGCGGAGAAGAGCAACGGGAAGTATTGCCTTTCCATGGACATCAGAAGGCTAAATTAAATCTCTCTGAGTCGATTCGTCTCGGCGCCAGTAGTCACAGACATACTTGACAGACAGTAGCAGTTAAAGATAATTGCGGCATAGGACCAGAGATATGGCCACATCCATTATCGATATCAACAGCAGTATATCAGCCATGTGAACTGATGTTCCGCTGCCATACAACCATAACGAGCTACAGAACGAAATATAAGAAAGGGAGAGAAAGGGAACTTACCGAAAAACCTTAATGTCTGAAGCAAACATTCAAAGTCAAGGCCTCTACACCTTGTCAACCACATACCATCACAAGCAGCTGGCTATGGTGCAAAGACAAGGAGGTATCCGCGAGACAGCTTCCTTTCGACTTTCACTACCCCGAGGCATAATCGGCGATTAACCCGCAGATAGCATCACCAAACACGTTAAACAGGCAGTCCGACAAAGAGACGGCGGCAGATACGCTACTGGTGCTGACTGCGATTTATGTCCTGCAAAGTCACAAGCAAAGCACAAGGCGAATCACGTGGACTCCAACGTCGGAAGCGAGACAGACCGACGCCATCAAGTCTTGTCATCATACTTTATTTTCTGCTCAGCCACCCTCTGAGCCAACCGACGGTTAGTATTGTCTATGTAAACATCATCGCAACTGCAGGTGAACTTATAAACCACATGAGAAGTCGAACTAGCCGAAGGGTAGCTCTGACGATCATAAAGAACCAGTTTCCGGGTAGTGTGCATGGAGGCGCAACTGGGCAGCCGTGCAGTGCGATTTAGGGCGGACCTGAGCTTGTGTCCGACATCATTTGCCACATGGTCGCCGCTGAACGGCAGAACAAAATAGACAGCTTTTTCCCTGCAGTTTGCACCGATAGTTTCTTCTTGGGGGTCTTCTGTGCAATTGGATAAACTGTTTGGGATAACTATTCGATACTAAGGCCCTATACATAAACTTTTCTTTAGCTTCCAGCAATTCCGGACTACAAATTCGTCTGGCCATGTAGAAGAGCGTTTTCACTAAGCCGCGTTTGTATGCAAGCGGAGCGAAACTGGAAAAGTGAAGGTACTGCCCACTCCAGGTCACTTTGCGGTAAACGGTGCGCTGCAGTGTACCTCCATCCCGTCTCTTGATGAGGATATCCAAAAATTGCAGGCAGCCATGTTGTTCTATCCCGTGGGACATAGATACGGTGGGGTGCCTTGGTCTTGATTTCGACAGTTTAATTGGTGTGCCATTTTTTCCTATGTATATACTGATGTCTGTGTTTACTAGTATTGTGTATGCGACTGATGAGAACAATCGAAATGTTGACATATCCTAATCTATCTATTCTTCCTGCTTTGATGAAGTAAGCTATTTAGCCAAATGCTCGGGGAAGTATCCCCTAAGACAACTCCCTACTTCGGCTCGGGCAACAATCGACTGTTCTACAACGTGCTCATTGGCTATCGTTCCTGATTTTTACATTCACGCGACTTCAGCACATGTCAGTTGTTTGTTTGCTAACAATCCTTGCTTTCCGTTACCCGATTCATAGGTTCAAAAATCTGGCTGCGATCCCAGTTATGCCGCGAACCATGGAGTTCAATCTATGCCTCACCTTCGATCCCGATCCTCGTTCCGTTTGGAGTGCTTCAACGTTCGGAGATATGCAGGCTGGGCAGCAAGCCGGTCTAGCGCACACTCTAACGTCCCTCGATATGGACATCTGCTGTCTTTCAGAAACCTGATTGCAAGACCGCAGCACTGTGCCTCCACTGACCAAGAAGCCAGAGATTACCTGTGTCTTTCCGAAGATCCAGAAGCAGCCTCAGCAGGTTTGGCTGGTGTAGGTGCAGCACTAAGTTGCAAGGCCAAGGCGGCACTACTGGAATAGTTCACGATTAACAGCCGACCGCGTGCAATTCGGCTTCAGGGTTCAAGTAGAAGCAACAAGCGCCGTAAAGTAAGACGCGATTTGTTTGTAATCTCCACGTACGCTCCGACAGATTGCAGTAGTGGCTCGGTCAAGGAGGACTTCTATCGGGAGCTACATCAGATCTAGACTAGTGTTATAAGTTTGATGGCGTAGTCCTTCCTGGGGGTATACTGTACGGGTCGGCCGCCTGTTGCCATACGAAAGCCACCTAGGTGGCCATCATGCGCTCGATGAGGACCGCTCTGATAACGGAGGTTTCTCACCTTATGCGAAGGCAACCGTTTCCCTCGAGCACTGATTTCCAGCGTATGAAGAAGCGGTCCGCAACGTGGAATCCCCTTTCGCCAACACAACCGTGAGCTCAAATTGATCACATTAAAATCTGCCTATGAGAAAGTAAGCATTGCCTAGAAAATCCACTATTTTAGCGATTAATCGATTAGTAACGATTATCGTATCGATTTCGAACGTTTTGGAATGTTCCAGTTTCTGCATGTGACTAAAAACTACCTGACACCTCGGCAAAAGTTATGGGGAACCATTACCCTTGGTAGTCGACCTTCCAATTCTAGAAGTCGAAGGTCAGTAAGAGACCTATAAATAGAACCAAGGTCCGTGGTAGTTGTACAGTGTTCGTTGACGGCGAGTAATACGTTATTTTGTCAAGGTCAGTGGCGTTTTGCTTTTACCTTCGTTGGGGCTAGAAGTTTCGTGGAGCATTAAAGTGTCCATTTCGGAATCGCGCCTAGTGAGAAGATTATAACACAATCAGCTTCAGATGGAGTGGCAGCGTACTGGACTGCATGTTCTTTTGGTTCATCTTCGTTGAGCCAAATCATGCACTGGTCTGAGCAAAAATCTGCATGTGCTTTGAGGGGTCGTGAAAAAGAAGCACCGCAAGACTGATGTAAACAGGTTGACTGATTTCTCCATCCAGGTGAGCTATTAGCCTTCATTAGCATAAGCACTCAGTTGCAATCCATCGCAAGACATAGTGTAAGAGTGGACTCGTATAAAGAAAGCGATGACCATTTCCGGACAGTCAAGCTGCCGCCTAGCTCGACACCCCTTAAAGTCTTGGTTCTCAGTTCGCTCTCCAGAGTTGTTTGACCGCTGCAAGAATATCCCAGCAGAATCAGATTGCAACGAGCGGCGCCGTTCTGCCAAACGGCTGCTTAAGCAAAGCCTATGCAAGGATCGCGATGAATGATGGTCTCAGCGTACTTTAAACATGGAGACCGTTGCCCACTTTGGAAACACTCGCAAGCTTTTCCAACTCACTCAGCCCACTAGCCTCAGAAAGCCTGGTGTCGGTGAGGTTATTTGCGAAACGGATGAGTCTCCGATCATCAATCAACAGACACGTTTGGACTGCTGGGCCAAGCACTTTCATTCGCAATTCCACTGGCCTTCACCATCCATCATTACATGCAGTACACCTTGCTGTCCACCCTGGCTCGTCCCATTGAATCTACCCAGCGAAGCAGAAGTCAGCCTCGAGATGCGACGCTTGAAGCGCTGCCGGCTTAGACGGACTTCCTCTGGAGTCGTTCAGGTACGACGGAGTGGCCATCATTAACCAGCTGGCCTCGTTGTTCACAAAAATCTGGCATGAAGTGAAAGTGCCTTCCTCTTGGGGCGAATCAGTTATTGTACCGATTTTCAAAAAAGTCGCTCCCACGTAGGTGTAAATCATCACCGGTTTAGTCTTATTTCGGTTGACTCCAAGCTATTGGCATCCAGTCTGTTTCGAAGACTATCCCCTTTACGCGAGGCATACTACCGTGAAGAACAAGCTGGTTTCCGTCCCGGCCGTGGATCAAATCCTCACGCCCCACCAACTCTTCGAACATCGCCACATTTATCACAGGCCCACTATCGTTGCATTCCTAGTTATACGTGCTGCATTTGACTCCATTAATCAACCTGCTTTATGGCGTTGCTTGCTGAAGAACGGGGTACCAGAGAAGCATATCGCCATTTAACATGCACGTTACCTTCATATCTCCGGCAGAGTGAGTGTCTACGGCAATTTTTCTTTGCTATTCGCTGTCAATAGCGATGTGCGACAGGGCTGCCCTATGTCCCCATTCCTATTCAACTTCGCAATGGAAGAGGTTCTGTCGAGCGTTTTCGAAGGTTTCTAACATTTTGGCCTAGAGTTTCTACCAGGTGAGCGCGCGAAATACTTAGATTATGCTAATGATATCGCCTTACTTGGTGACAATCCTCGGTATGCAACTCATTCTG